AGAAAGAAAGAAAGAAAGAAAGAAAAAGAAAAATGCCCTTTATCATTTTAGGGTATATTTCAACACTGAGCAATATTGAAATTATCAAATCTCCAAGGCCTTTAAAAAGTACACAAAACACTTTGAAACCATCAGATCCTATTTGTTGGTTGGAATGTTCATCTTGCATATCTGCAAATCTACTCTGAGGAGCGAATTGATTGAAAATTTGATGAATTGAAACCCATTTTCAAAGCTGTGCACAGCCTTACCAGTTAGACTCAAACCCTTAATAGTTTGGAGGTAGGTGGTGCAATCAAGAGGCTTTTTCAAACTTCACCCAGTCATCCAGTTGGAGAAGACAGACCAAGACTTTGTCACTCGTGACATTATCTCCCAAGCTGGAGATTGTGCAATATGTATAGTATCTGGGATTGTTTATGAAAATAGTTTAGGAGCTCTTCTTTGTCCAGGATGTTGTCATCAGGTTACTGTCAAGTTCCAGAATGGAAGATGTCAAATTTTAGGAAGTTTTAAAGCAGTGGAAAATAACAGTTTTGGTTTTCAAGTACGGCTTCTGTTTATGTATGTTGGTGGGAAACAGGTGAATAGGAATACTGTATTGAGAAAAATGAAAGCTCTTCTATCCTTTTAAAATGTTCAGTATAGATATAAAAAACACTTTGTAATTTTACCAAAGATACTCAATAAGAAGAGTACAAACCCATGAGCAAATTGAATTTCTTTTCCTTTTGTTAAAGTATCAATGACTCCTGGAAGAAGAAATGCATATTTATTTTTGCATTTAAGAATGGTAGGTGCTTTGGGGGGGGGGGGGAGAGTACTGGGGAACTTGCTTTCCCATCCTTTAAAAAAAAACACTGCAGTGTCTGTTGTCCGTTACTGCCAACCTCTATCCTTGAAGGGCTTATTAGTGAAGATGTCAAGTGGAGGACCCTGCGTCGCTTTATGCTTTCCACACTACGGAACTTTGGAATGGGAAAGAAGTCGATGGCTGAGCGGATATCAGAAGAGGCTCTCTGTTTGGTGGAGAAGATGGCAGCCTCTGAAGGTGGACTCACTCTGCAGGAGCGTGGGCTTGATTTTATTCATTTATTTAAGGAATACTATCCCGCCTTTATGTGTACAACTCAAGGCGAGGCACATAATGCTGCTGCCTCTTTACCTCACAACAACAACACTGTGAGGTGGTTTATATATTTACATATTTATTTTTAAGTTCAAAAACAAATACTTGTTTTTTGTTGAATTAATAGTCTGCCTTTCCAGCTATACTTCTGAAGGTAGCTCATCACAATTAAAAAGTAGGCTGAAGCCTACCTGGATGGTCTTGAATCCCTACTCCCAGAGTCTGTTCACTAGGTTGAGAAGTTGACATCCTTTGTTTCAGGGACGCACTGATTTTGACCCTGACATGATTTACTAGAATCAATGGAATGACTGTACAATGGAAAAGTTTCCAGGCAGATGCCCTTTGAACCATGAAGGTTCTACATGTGCAAATTCCAAATAGAATGCAGTAGAAAGAAAATTCACGAAGTAACTAGGGAAAAAGATTTGGGGATACAAAAATTGGTCACGCAATGTCTTTCTTCCTTTCTTTTTGCTGTTGCAGGTCAGCCCTTTGATTTCATCCCAGCCACCACAGCTGCTGCTTCTAATGTCATGTGCTCTGTTGTCTTTGGGAATCGATTCTCTTATGAAGATAAAAACTTTATGGAGCTATTGGAAACGTTGAAGGCATTCTTAAATTTCTTTGTGAGTGTTCCTGGAGTGGTACGTCAACTTTATGTGCTTCTTCAACCAGGGTTTTCTCTTTATTTAAGAGTAAGAGGGTTCCTCTTTGTTTAAGAGTAAGAGGGTTCAATTATGCTGAATGTTCCCTTCAACATACAAACATGGGAGACTTTTTAAAGTGGCCTTCTAAAAGAGGCGTTTGAGAGAATAACACTGCATCTCGGGTTTAAGTGACTGTTCCTGTTGCTCCTGGTTAGTTCATATGTTGCTACTAATCAGCGACTCTTTCCAGAGTTATGGAAGATACATAAAGCTTCAGTCCTGCTTCTTCTGAACTAACTACTCTAAGCTCTAACTAGTGCCCATTTCCCAGTGGTATTCATAAGTAATTGCTTTTTAAGTCTTCCATAACTGCTCAGCTTTCATTTTACTATTTCTCACAGTATCAACTGAGGAGATATAACCAAAGAGAAAAATCATAAGTAAATAAACTTGGTGTCCATAAGCTTATATTTTCTATTTATTTGGTAAGCAGAATACAGTGAAAATGTCTATATTTGGTCTTGCCTATTGTTTATTTTAAGAAAAATAGAAATAAGAGGCCACTTTATAGGGAAACCAGTTTTTCTATGCAGCTCCTGAGGCAGAGCAAAAGAGATGAACTGGCAGTGGCTAACCTTTGCTGTCACCATGTTTCAGGTATTCAGCGCTTTGCCAAATATCATGAAATTCCTTCCTGGACCGCACAATAAAGTCTTCTGTGACTGTAACAAGATCTTTAACTTCATTAGGAATAAAGTGGACTCTCACAAGAAGAACCTGGATCCACAGAACCCTGGGGACTTTATCGACTGCTTCCTTCTTAAATTAGAAAAGGTACAGTAGAT